TCCATACAGCTTAAATGACTTTTTCTCACTAGTTAATAGTTTACTTATACTGTTAAAGAACTTGTTAGCAGTTATTCCTAAATTGACCACCAATCTGTGCTTAATACTGGTGCTCTCAGAGGATAAAGGAGAAACATAACAGAGTTAAATCTTACTTGCAGGACCTTTTCTGAATAAGTAGTTGACTACGTATAGACAGATAAATGCATATTTACCTAAATATGCATGTAGTCACATGCCTAGACAGACTGAAGCATCTGCAAAATATTTATCTGTAGAAGCATTTGTCATTACTAAGTCCACAGCCTGCTCAGGGTTCTCAATAAGTAACAACTGAAACTCCACCAACTCTTATAAAATTTTCCGAAATAATACAGCATTAAGAATTTCTATGTTTCTATCTTGCATTGGTGGAACAAAGGGGCACAGTGCAAGAACTAGATTATTTTGGGTCAATCACTTCTTATAACCTCCTCTAATTATTAATATTCAGTTTTGTAATAGGTGAATTAAAAAGTTATTGCTATTTTTGGCTAAAATCCGGGATCCATAAATATAATACAAAAGGAACATGAAAATAAATCTATACTTAAAATTATAAATTAACATGACATTGTTTACTTAATAGACTTAATAGAACAGCAAACTCAGGTGATCCCTGTAAAAGGCAATTTATTCCCTTAGTATCACTTACATTTGATGATTCCCTATCTCCTTTTTTCAAAAGCATGTTGTTTGACTGGAATGTTTTATTGTCTGGTATCTCACAGCTACACTGTCAACAATCTTGGTGCTTAAATGAACTTTTATGGAGAATACTAGCCATGTAGAATCTCCCAGTACCTACGGGCTACGGTGAAGGAATGAAGATAGAACTTCCATTTTCCTTCTTTGCTTGTTTATCAGTTTCCCTTCCCTGGCACTAACCACTGAAAAATTTTATTCCAAGATATAAGGCATCCACCAGGCCAGCTTGAAATGTAAGTCTAGCTAAGCCTAGTTTAATACTGTGTAAGTATTCATTTGTAGCTTGTTTTTGTTCTTCTCTAATTTCATGCCCCCCTTTTCCCTTTAAGGAAGGGCTTGAGAAACCCAGTGACAGAATTCCTGAAAGGCTCCCTACTTTTCTCTCTGTTTACCCACATTTCGTTTTCCATTCCCAAAACTAGAGAAAGATGACATTCCTGATAAGATATGTATCCCAGAGTAAGCCCTACCACATACCTCCCTCCTCTCTGGACAGTTGTGATAACTTTATGCCCAGGATTTAATATCTATTATAGACTGAAATGCACTAATTTGTTTTCATGTCTGGACTCTAGATGGTAAGAGCAAGAACCATAGCGTATTTGTCTTGAGTGCCTGGCACATGTAAAAAATATGCTTTTGAATGAATGCCTTGGGGTCTAGAGTAGCAGAATGATGTCCATGAGAATTTATGCGTAGCCACTCAATGAACTCTGTGGTCTAGGAAGACGTCTTCCTGTTTCTGACTTGTTCATCTGCACGATGGGATGATGTTTCACTCTGCACCTGATGGCACTGGCGTGAGGCTTAAATTGGCTACCACATGAAGGAATTTTTTCTACATTTCTCTCCACACACCAAATATTATAACTGGGGTCCCAGTCTAGGAAGTGTGTGACTCCTTTGGTGAAGTTTTAGAAAGACAAGTTTGTTTCTAGAGTGAATATTCCTGATTCTGGTACAACAAGTTTTCTGCATTCCTATACCAGTTTCCTGAGACCTGCATGCTATCACTAATATAGTTGTCATATGGCTCTTCAACATGTGCTTTAATTAAAAGTTTCAAAACTATAAAACTATATTCTACATGGACTAATACAAAAACTGATTTTTAAAGCAACATCTGCTTTTAAGATGATGGAATCTCAGAACAGTTGACCTGGTTATATATATTTAATGGTTCTCTCAGAACCCAGAGGAAGCAGATCAGGACTTTTAGTAACTAAGAGTAATGCTAAAAAATTCTTTAGTGTGGAGTACCCTCAAACTCACCCAGTCAGAAGTTGTAAAGTCAGATTTTTTATTTTGTCTGCATGGGGTTCTTTTCTGTGACAGTTTGCCATGAGCCAGATTAGTATAAATGCTCGTTAATCAAATCAAGTCAAAATGTCAGCAAGCACACTCCATAAGCTCGCCTGTAGCTCCCAGGAGGATTACAGGTAGGCAGCCAATACCCAGCATGTTTTGCTTTGAGAATGCCAACCAGCTTGTAAGGGGCTCCCTTTGTTTGATGGAAGGGAACAGGTTAAATGGTTAAAAGAATGGATTTGGAAGTTGCTTAGACCTGCGTTCTGATAATTGTTTGGTTTTCTGTACCTGTAAATGGTTACACAAATAGTTATCTGGCAGGCATAACAGGATAGGTATGAGATATAAATAGGAGACACTTGGTATGAAGCAGGTAATTATACTACTATTAATGATGAGGCACTGCATGCCAAATACTGTTCTAAGAATTTATGAATATTCACTCATTTAATCCACACGTCAGTAGGCGCTACTGTCCTAGGTGTTCAGCTGAGACAGAGGTGAGGTAAATTATCTAGGGGGTAAGGTACAATCAGGTTTTGAGCTGAAATAGTCCAACTCCAGAACCAAAGTTCTTAAATATCATGTCTTCCTGTCCAATGTTACTCTCCTGGACTTAGTGTTTTAGTGTATGAATGTCGGTGTCAGTGTTTTGGGTAGTGCAGGAAGCAACATGTGTATCACATTGTGGCTCATTGTAACCACCTCCATCGACACTCACACAAGGAATGTGTGTCCACTAGATGGCATTGCTGTTTTAATGAAATGTGAACCAGGTCCATGTTAAGGTTTAGGAGTCTGCTGAATTTGACAGCACTTGCAGGATAATCTAATATTAACTTTCTAAGTCTGATGGAAGAAGCCTCCAAAATTTAGAACAGATCTAAAGCTCTCTAATAACTAATAGTATCTTGAAATAACTGAGAAAAAAAATAATGCTCGTTCATTTTAAGTAGCAATGTCTATTGTGAAAATCTGGATGCATTTTGAGATTAACTGGTCCAAGCACTTCAGTTCAGAGATGAACAGATTGAAGACCAGAGAGAAAAAATAACTAGCTGAGGGTTCCCCAGACTTGAGTCCTGGCTATAGTTCTTTTCCATAATATTTCCTTTTGTTTATGAATCACAAAGAAACTGATTTCTGAATTCATACCAGATTTTCCTTTTTGGGCATGGGGTACAAGATTGCTCAACGGTTTTGAGTATTTGTTTTATTAGATTTTAAACATGTGTTTTAAATTAATAGCAGCCACAGGCACTTAGATGCTAAGTTGAACAAAAGCAAACATTGGTCGCCATTTTTTTCTTTCCTTTTGACATGTCCTTTTGGAAAGATTTAGTGACTCTACTTAAAAAAAAAAAACTATTCCTGTTGATTGACAATACACTTTGTGAATATTAAATGCATAGCAGGTGATGGGTAACAGATACACAAAAGGACTGTGGAGTCTGAATGCCTGGATGGAGCCAGCTCTCTCATTTAGTAACTAATGGTGCTGAGAAAGTTATGAAATGGCTTGAAGCCTCTGTTTCACATCTGTAAAATGGGAATACTATTGTTACTTTTAAAATGTGCTTGCCAGTATTAAATGTGTGTGAAGAACCTGTGACACAGTCAGAAATCAAGGTTAAGAGAACAGAAGTAATGATGGATATTTCTGTTACAGCATGTTTACTTTTCTTTGTCAGTTGTGAATGTCATTACAGGTGCTGCTTTGTCAACAACATCTTTACTCACTGCCACATGCTGAATTGCTAAAGAGAGGAAATAACATTTCAGGTTTTAGAACTGTGTAACATCCCTTCTTCCTCAACCAGATGGTAGAAGTAGCCAAGATACATATGGCATGTATTTAATTATATGTTCACATCAACTTTTTTTTTTAAAACATTCGTAGGCTTTGGCTCCTACTCAGAGTTTAGACAGAGAAGGTGACTAAGCACATGGTATACAAATAATAACAGCTAAGAATTTCTAAGACTTGCTGAGTTCCAAATATTGCTCTGTTTTACCAGTATTAATTCATTTAATTCTTGCAACAGTCAAGTGTTAGGAACTAATAATTTTTTTCTTTTTAAAGATAAGTGAACTGGGAAGAGACACTTGTTCCAGTTCAAATAATAAGACACAGCCAGGATTTGAATCTAGGAAATCAGCTGTTAAGCAGTCTTCTCAGCCATCTAAGTAGGAGGGATATAAGGAAGCACTGAAGTTTGCATACATCAACACGGTTTCCCCCCTCCAGTTAAGGTGATTATCTAGTTAAACATTTCAGACTGCTCAACTTAACAGGGTAAAACAAAGTCATGACGGGTCAAAGGAGACCATAGCCTAGGTTACACACTCTTAAAGACCCCTGCAACAGGGGGAGGGCCAGAACTTGCTGTTAGGGTCTATAACATTCCAGTCTACACTCTATTGCCAATCATTAAGATTCTACTACCATGTAGAATTCTTGAATTCGGACTTACCTTTCTATTTTAACAAAGAAGGAAACTGAGATGCCATTTACACAGAGCTTCTCCTCAGTTATCTTTGAGGAAGAGTTGGAACCCTGTTCATTCAGTAGTTACCTACTGCTTCTCTATCCCTATCGATGTCACTTTAAATAACACCATTTTGAATGCCTGCTCGAATTTTCCTGTTTATTCCAATAACATTTTTCCTTCAGAGATGAACCTAAATATCACAGATAGCATCTGTTCTTTACAGATAGCATCTTTCTATTTTCAAATTTTTCGTTCTTTCTTTGCTTGAAATAAACTGTTATGGGGCAGGAAACAATGACAACAATTCAATATATTTAAAAATAAACTTGTTTTCTCACTAGAAGCCATGAATGCAATTCAACTTACACCTAAGCAAAGGACCATACTGAACAGGACCAACACAATCTCAAATCAGAATTTCCAAAAATGAGCTGGGAATCGATTTCTACTTACCGATTTCAGTCATTGTTATCCCTGGTGCTAACTGCCCATTGTTGAAAGAACTATAGGTAAACAAGTTGGGGACGGATGTGAGGTCATAGATAGGTTCTTGCTTTATCTGTTTGATTCCAGTCATGTCAAGTCCTGACTGATCAGGGGACGGCTGGCTGGAATCCACATTGTAATAACCCTCAGACTTGGGCAGGTCAATGACATGTCCATTGGCGTAAGTGCCACTGGCCTCGCTGTTCAGGCTGCTGAGGCCGTTACTGATGCTGCTGCTGTACACCCTCGCAAGGGCTTCTGCTTCTCCGTTCTGCTGCTGCCTCTGCTCCTGCAGCCGCTGCTGGTGCTTCTGCACCTCGGCGTATAGACTGTCCCTTTGTTTCTTGGACATCCTCCCAAACTTCACAGCTGGGTTGGAAAGAAAAGCAGAAAACAGCACTTGTGGTTATCATTCTTGTAAAATGGCTGATGTCCAAAGGGTCATGGTGGTTGTACCTTCAACTTCAAGTGGACAGACTCCTAGCACCATAGTCCAAGAATCCATTCGTGTACATTTCACGTTTGAGGAAAGGTTATATTCAGGGGTGTCTGTACTGGTTTATGTGCAAATTGAGGACTCAATCTAAATTAGGAAGAAATGTAAGTATGTAGGTGATTTTTGATGCCATGAAGTTAAAAGGGATATTTCCTTGTGAAAAAACAAAACCCACAAAAAACCAAAAAGTGCTATTAACATGTCAACCGAAATTCTTTATGACCTCCTTACACTCCAAGGATGATTGGGTAGGTACTTATGTCACTGTTTTCTAAATAGCAAGTTGGGTAAGCCCAAGGATGTGGGGGCGGGTTATAAATACAATTTTAAGTGAGCCAAATCATTTACCTTTAGTTTACTTTTGGGATTAAAAGTGAGCATCTTTGGAAAATAGCAATTTTGTTCATCCAGTGCCCACCAATGAAACAATAGTAACTGCCCCTCCTTTCTTTTATTATACCAAGTTGCATACTCCCTGTCTCTGCTAACAAAACCTGCAGCTGTTCTGAGGGAAAAGGGGGAAGAGGCTCTGTGAGTTTCCATAGAGTAATATGAAGATGCTTTGATCTGAATATATTGTTTCTTATAGAACTTAACCTCCTGAGCTGTATGGATATTGATAGTTTTCCTCACAAGATGTCAACTTCTCTATTAGGCTGAGAACATCCTGATTGATGTGGCCATCTTGTCTGAATCATCAAGCACTAGGTTGTTCAGCTCTCTTTAATGGATGGCGCTATGGCAAACATGGAGGTTCCCTCAGAGTTTCTGTTTTCTTTTGTGACAGTATTTCCATTACCTGTTGGTGTTGGGAGCTCAGAAAATGTAGAGAAGAAAGTGGAGGGTAGAATTAGGTGCAGTTACCAGACTAAGTAATAAGGTTGGTGAGAATAGCAAATGGTGACATGCTAAGGAACTCTAGCATAATGAGCTTACTGAGAGGTTTCTCAGGTAAAAAGAGTTGAAATTTCATCTCCCAATATCCCTCCAATATTTTCCTATTGGTTAGAGTACAGCCAATCTTTGTCTAAGCTTCAGCCGTTCAGAATAGAGACCACTGTTTCCAGTTTCCCTTACTGACAGTTATTTCAGTTCTGGGAAACAGGGAGTATGTGGAAGTCCTGCCAACACTTCCTGGTGTTGGGGAAAGCTGTATTCCTCCTTCCTGCCTTCTGGATTGTGGATGTGAGGATGGGCTTGGAGAAGCCTGAACTCTTCTTATTTCTTCTTGATCCTTCTTAAAACTTATGTTAGGGCTTTCTGATGCTGCCTAAGTAGGAACACAAAGTGGTAATTACCCAGTAATTTTTCTGAATGAAGACAGTTAATCTGGTTAATTCAGACAAAACTCCCCTTTCCACCTCAATTGTCATTTTTATAGGGACTTGAGTCATTTAGATCATTGTGTTTAGCTTTGTTTATAGAGACACTGTTCTTATTAGATTCTGTTTCTCAGAGACAAATTTACTGCTTTACTAATTGCAGTGGTATTTCAATTCACCCATGGACAGAGTTCTATAGTAACTTTTAGGGCAAGTTTTCTTGGTACATTTGTATTTTCCCAAATAATTTGTTATGTATAATCCTGTAGGGATTTTTCTTTTTTTTTTGGATAAAAAAATTACCCACGGACAATTTTGATTCAAGAAAATACTTATTATCCCCAAGAAAATAATGTGACATTTCTTCTTTATTTGCTGACTCTGTGTCCTTTGTGTTCATGTAGCTTCAAAGCAGCTCTTTGCTAACGAGCTAGCTATGGTGGTGAGTACAAAATCTGTATCTATTGCTATAGCTTAAGAATTTTGTTGTGACTAGAGTATATTTTCTGACTTACTTGAATAGAATAGTTTTGTATTTGTTTGTTTAAAAATCCATAGGGAGAAAAAAAAACAATTAGGAGAAATTGTTCAGAATTATTTCAGACAGAAATAATATGTATTTGAAATGATTTTCATGTAGTTCTTGCTTTAGACCTTTCTGTGCTCTCTATTTAGGTGAATATACACTCTGTGGGTTGGTCCCACTCATGGCCCTGATTGCTCTTACATGTTCCATGCTCTTTCCCATGTAAATTTGCAATATCCTTTCATTCTTGTAAGTGTTCCACCCAATTCCTAATCCAGAGTCTTGTGCCTTGCTAGTGGGATATTGACATATGTTACACAAACAGAGACTTCACAAGTGCTTGTATACTTGAACATCTCATCATGAAAAAACCCAAAGTAGCTTTCTGGAGGAATAGAAAGCAAAGCAGAACCATGCTACTCAGTCATGACTGACAAGACCATCTATAATCAGCAGAGGAACTGAATGACCAACAGCTGATGGCAGAAGAATGAAAGAGCCTAGTCAAAATCTTACATACAACAACTTTAGGTTCAAAATTCTACTGTGAACCACCAATCTCATAGTCAAAGCTTATAATCTCAAGCAATGTGCTAATAAGTGTGCTACTAAATGCTTTGGTAAACATCTGAATCCTCAATGGTGAATAGATATGCTTTTTCCAAGAAATTGATTTCTCAGGTCAGTGAGCAACTAAAATATTTTCAAATCAACAACTTAAAGTTCCAATACATTTTGGAACCACCAGACATCATCCCAAATCAAGGGCTTTGCTTATAATTACTATGCACAATTTTAGAATGAAATTTTCATTCATTTTAGAATCACTGATCAGCCAGTTTATGCCTTTTCCTATGGTAAAAATGATGACATATTTGGGGAAAAATTACAATATATGGCAAAAACAAACCTGAAACAGAATTCTTTGCCCCTGTTTGTAGTATGTTTATAGAATCTATTGTAATGAAGGCTATATTACTATTATATTTTCAAGTATTGGCATTCTTCTAGTCACCATCTATTAATCAGAATGGCACATATTTTAAGTGTTTGCCCCTCTTAAACTTGAATTATTCTGCTAATGAGGTTCACTTGAGTATAGAGGCAGCCTCTTGTTAAACTGCTAGCTCTCGAAGATACTAGCAAATTCCGTATACATTGCAAGTGCTTTATAAATATTCAGTGATGATGGTATTTGCTCATGCTCTTAACCCTCATTTTGATTCCACACAAAAGTACTGGAAATCTTTTATTTATTTATTTATTTATTTGGGTTGTAGGATTTCACATGGAATGGAATTTTTTGGAGTAACTATAAAACAGTCATTGTTTCTTCAAAGGTTTCTACTTACCACATGACAACTTGACATGTGTTTTTGGTTTCAAAAGAACCCAGTTGTAGAAATATTATCTATGACTTTCCAGAGTCACTTTGGAAATTATTTTATCTTACTTTCTTTGGTTGTAAAGTCCTCTATTTTTACATCTTGCTTCTTACCAAGGAAACTAGTCTTATTTTAACACTTAAATATCAAGGATGTGCCATTTTTTATAGTTCTCTAAGTTTTGTAGAAAAAATCTGATCCAACCTACCCAACACAGTTCATTACTTAAAAAATATTCTCTCATTCCCCTCCCTCACTTCTCAGTAGAACTGACTGTGATGATGGGATGTTCTCCATGCTGTCAGCATGGCAGTCACAGTTATATATGGCTCTTAGGTATGGAAAATGTAGTGTTTCTGAAGAAATGAATTTTACATTAAAAAATTCTAATTAATTTAAATTTAAGTAATGAAAAGCAGATGCCACATTGGACAATAAAGTTCTGTGTAAGAATTAGCCAATATATGAAACCTGTCTTTGTAAAGGTAGATTCCATTTTTTTCCCCCACAAAGGCACAGATGGCATTTAGGAGAACTTAGCCTTAATTATAGCAAAGTGGCTATCATATTTTCTTTGGGATCCCATATTTTCCTAATGATGCCAAATACTTTGCTGTTTTTTTAAACTTGTTTATCTATAGTCACACTTGGAAATAACTGATACTGAAGATTCCTGCTCTGAACATTTGTTACGGGTTCACTTAAGGGAAATAAAACAGGATAATAGAGAATGTTCAGTGAGAATACACGCACACACACACACATATGTATATATATTATCCATTCAAACACACACACACACGCACACGCAGAGCACAGGCATACCTTCACCTTTTTATACACAAAAACACTTATCTATGTATCCAAGTAAGTTTAATTTAATAACTCATAAAATCCCTTTATACCAAGAGACAGTGCATACCAATTATCTGTTTCTTTAAAACTAGAAGTATTTCCTTCCTTCTCTCCTTTTTCCTCCTTCCATAACACCCTCCCTCCTTTTTCTCATATTGCACAAACAGTATGCTGTTCCTCATCTCTTTCATCCCTAATTCCCTTGTCTAGAAATCTTCCAATGACTTAAAAAGGCTCCAGCAAGGCATCCATTTGAAAGCTATGTGTAAAGTAAGAAATAGGAAGGCAATGCCTTACCATCTCTCGACATTCCTAGGGCAAGACACTTCTGCAGCCGGCAATGTTGGCAACGGTTCCTGTTGGTTCTGTCAATTAAACAGTTTCTCTGCCTAGGGCAGGAGTAAGAGGCATTGTTCTGCTGGCTCCTTCTAAAGAACCCCTGGAGGGAAAAAGAGAATGGAAGGTAGACAGATTTAAGAGAAGGGAAACAGACCATCACATGAACAATTGCTACATTTTCTACTGTGAACTTGACTGAGGTCATGTTTGGAAATTCTATGGTGACTTCTTCTTAAATAGTTTACAGATTTTTGGTGGGGGGGGGAATATGCACTATCTGAAGGTTATGAATGAATCATTCATTCATTCAATGTTGACAAAAGACACTTGTGAGCTGTGCCACTCTTGATAAAATAAACCAGAGCAAAGTTCCCGTCCTCAAAGAGCAGAGGGAAGGATTGGCATAGGCACTTCACGCCTCAGCCAAATATGATAAACCCAGTGGGGATACTAACATAAGCTTATTTGGGTGCTGAGGGGGTGAAGGGCTTGAGGTATTGGTAGCAATAGCAGTACTGCTAAGTGCGGGTTCCGCCAGTCCTACTAGCTTGTCTCTTTGATGCACCTTCCCACATTTGAGCATAAATGAATTTAGCCAGAATGTATCTAAAAGATTTTGTTTTCTAAAAACCAATGATGTAACTTATAACTAACTGTATCTTTGAATAAAGGAAATATGAAATGTAAACTGTGAAGCATAAAGTAAGCAATAAGTAAAAACTGTAACTAATGCTTAGCCTCAGACTATCATAATAGAGAAGGTCATTATGCAAGTAAGTTGGGCACCTTCTGTTGCAAAATGAGCTGCCATGATCACACATTGTTACCCTTCCAAATAAACACAGCTGAGTTTATGATTATTATTTTAATCACTGGGATACTGCTTTAGTTAACTTACAGAAAATCCTGCCAAGGAAATAAACATTTTCTCCAGAGATATAAAAATATCGCTCACCCATTCATTCACCTATTTAGTCAGTTTCTCTGCTCTTTGTTTTTGCATTATGGTACAGCTTAAGTATAAAGTGCCATTGTAACAGAGTGGTCCCTAGGAAAAGGGGAACTTGCAGGTTCCCTGCCCCACCCAGAAGCAGGGTGGAGCTGAGGAGAGAAAAAGAGAGAAGAGAAGGAATCTACGGAGGGAAGAAGGCAGCAGGATGGAGAGCCAGAAGGAGACCTGAGGGAGCCACATGGAGCAGCAAGCATGTGAGGAAGAAACCATGCTTGTTTCTTGACCTTGGACTGGTGAAGGCAGATGTGGGTGAGATACCTGGAGGGAGGTGACTATGGCAGTGTTTATATTGATTTTGATGTTGCTCTTTTGCTCTCAGATTTGTCTGGCCATTTCTGACCCTTTTCCATGAGTCCCGGCCAGAAGGTGCTTTAGTCTAGTGGCAGGCTTTCAGGCCTTGCTTTGGGCCAATCCCTTTTGGGTGGACTTTTGCCCACGAGGGGATAGGTACCTCAGGTGATTGATTTAGAAATTATATTCTTTGTGTTCCGTATTGTATATTCACTGTATTGAAGTCTCTTTTCATTAAAGTTTTATATGTTTTGTTTTGATGTGGTGGATGGCAGAATCCACTTAGAGCAGGCAGGGTTGGGGTTCAGTGATGCCCCTCTCTCCCTGTCCTGTAACACCATGGGCAAAGTGATGGTCCATAATAAATTTACCAAGAGAAATTTTGGGAAAAGCTACCATCTTTTGAAAGAAAAAAGCTTGGAAAATTTCTGAGATGGCAAGTCCAATGTCTATCTTGCTGTGAGACCTGGAATTGGTCACTTGACTTCTATCAAGTATCTTCTGAATCTTCTGAGATTCTTTGCTAATCAGCAAGAGCAAAGAGGAGAGCTAATACCTGGGTGAAAAAATAGGCAATCTCCTTGCTCACAAAATTGAAGAGGTTATCAAAAGACTTGATCATAAAGGTAAATAGCATTTTAACAGGATATGGTAAAAATAAACATCGATGTAAAAAATAAATACTGAAAGTTAATACAAAGACAGGATTGAGATGATTGGCTTCCCTTTTGTCTCTTACTTTCAATATGAGTATTAAGGGCTCTGTAATGAGAACCTAACCTTGAAGGACCTGGGGAATGTATGCATGACCAAACATCTTCTCAGAGAGACAGGGTCAGGGGGATTTGTGGTTGTAAGCCCAAGGTATCCAACAAGAACTATTTTTGTCCTCACATATTCATGTGCATTATTTATTTAGTGGACAAGGTTGGCAGAATGAAATATCGGATTGTTCAGTTTGAATGAATTTATGGAGTTCCTAAAAATAGAGATCCCATCCAAGTCCTCAGGGATCGAAATGATGTACTTCATATACCATGAAAACTGTCAGAAAGGCATGACCTCAACACTTCCATCTGGATTAGAGGTCATGTAGAATTTACATTTGAAGAAAGAATGTTTGTATTTGCCAATGCCATTTGGCAAAAAAGTTGATAAAGACTTTCCTGAAGTCATAGCCTTGATCTTAATTTAAGGCCAATTTGACATTAATTGTGAGGCATTTTTTGCTTATCTGTTGTTGTTCATTATTGCAAATGAGTTTTTTTGGCATGGAAAAGAGATTCCGTTTCAAATTTTATTGAGTGAATAGGAATTTCAGTAAGTGCACAGCCGAACTGATGTCATTTAAAATGGATTGTTTATGTTGATTCAGAAACAGTAGTATGAAAATTCAGAGGTTGGTACTAAGTGAGCTGATATTGGCATCTTATGCAGAATAGAATTTCTTGAGTTTTCTATTTGGAGAAAGATGTAGTATATTTACAAATGTGGGTTTTCCACGAAGTAAAAGAAATAGAGTAGTGTACAAAATAATTTTAACTAAAACTTCAAAGGAGGATTCAGAATAATTACATAATTTTTTTGACTTTAGCTTCGCTTTAAAGAAGAAAAGATCGTGGGAGCCTAAACATTTATTTCTGATTATTGACCTGTGGGAATATATCTCTTCTGTAGTTGAATCTTTTGGAAGTTACTGTTTAAAGTGTTTTGCTTGTTAAAGTGAACAAATTCTTGTATTTTGAAATCAGACATTTCCTAAATATAATTTATACAGTGAAACACAAAACATCTTCACTTTGACATTGATCTAAAAACATGTTTTTTGTTAACATGATATAGACTAGACCAGAAACCTTAAAATCACACACTAAACCAACAGTGTGGCAATTTTGATTCCAAAATTGTTAGTGTTTATGAAGAAACCTGTTTGTTTATCTCTTTGAGGAAGTAATAACTTATTCGAGGAGTGTAAACATTTGCTGATTTATAATTTTGCCTTATTGCGTCTTCTGATGACTTGGAAAAAATCACATATAGGTATACAATAAGACAGTTCTTACTTCAGCAGAGAAACAGAACACAAAACAAGCAACTTGTGATAGCCAAACAGGGATTGTTTCTTACCCACCTTTAAAGCACGTCACTGATGGGTTACCTTTTAAAGCTATTCTTCCCCCCCTGCATCCCTCTCTCATTTTATTCTAATTTCTTTTTCTTTTCTTCCCTCCAGTTTCAATTCCAGGAATCTTTCTTTCTTTCTTTCTTTTTTGAGTCTATTGTTGAAACATTGTTCAACTTTTCACACAGCACCACTTAAAATCCCAATATCTTTCGTGTCATTTATATTTGGAATTTGTATTTGGAAGCCTCTGAAGACTTAAAAGTTAGGATTGTGTTCCATCATCTTTTGGTTACCTTCCTTAATGATTCACTTTGATAAAAATTATAATTATTTTCAATTACTTTGCCAGCCTATCACTTTTCCCTCCCAAACTGTACCTGCATTTTTGAAAGGTCACCCAAGAGGTGACCTTTAGGTTCCTGGAAACCTAAGAAGGCTGGGAAGGGAGTCTTGAAACTTGTCCTTGCCTTATCGTCCCATAGCTGAAAACAACCAGCAGCTTTCTCCCACATTCTGCCCAGAGGCACCCAGCCCCTATCTCCCACATACCTGACCAAATCCCAGGAAGCCCTAAAGAACCCCCCAGACTCTGGCCCAGTGAGACTTCTGGAGTCTGTGAACCTCTTCCTGGAGCGCGCCAATAAAGGCTCCTTTGCTAGCCACTCTGAGTGCTTGGACTCTCTTTTCTGTTCCTCCTCTTTGTGCTTATCTATAACATCACCTCTACTCCTTTTAATTTTGTTTATTTTGGTTACAAGCTGCCCTTTTAAGATGATAGAAATGATGTCTTTCTCCCTTGACATTCAGTCTCTCATGCTTTCTTTTAAAAAAGAAATTTTTCTTATTTCAGATTTGGCCTATCTTAACTGCTCTTCACCCAGCCTTGTATTTTTAAAGCATTATGCCTATAGGCATTCATTTTTTTTCAAAAGATTGGTTGACTCTGTCCTGGAGGGGAACACTGGACAACAATGAGAAAACTCATGTACTGGCCTTGCTTTCTCCTTTACTTTGTCAGTGACATTGTCAAGTGACATAATCTTGTTTATCCCCCAGGAACTCATTGAAAAATGAGGCGGTTGGGGTAGATAATCTGGTTTACTTCTAGCACTCAATGCTTCTAATTTTTATTTTTCAAGAATGTGAGAATAAAGAATGGCTATGTGCATACTGCAACTGTTGCCCAACTCCTTTCTCATCTAACTTAGGAAACATAAGCCCATTAGTCTATAATCTTTATTTTAACCTTCAGTTCTTTCAGTCAGTAATAAATGCCCTGGAATTCACAAGAGTCAAGCCTGTTAAAACAGCAAGAATCAATATTTTATAGCATTTTAAATTTGAATAATTCAACTCTTAAATAAGAATCCAGTTTAAAGCATCCAGTTTAAAGCATCTGTTGACCAGTTAGATAATATATGTTAAAAAAAAAAAAAAAGAGAAACAAAGGAACAGAAGTCAACCACGAAGCCCCCAAGTTAGAATTCACAGGCCTCCTTTAAAAAAGTGTCTGCCCCTAGGAGGAACATGCCCAGCGTGCTGTGTTGAAGTCCCATACCTTGCAGCCTTCACATGTGATGACTCCGTAGTGGATCCCGGAAGACTTATCGCCACAAATTTTGCATGGTATCACTTCAATTTGTGCTGAAAAGGGAAAACAGAAATTTTGAGCTCACAAAGTTGTCTTCTGCCTTTCATCCTTTGCAGCTCCCGCTCTCTGCTTCTCTCTGATCTGACTTTATCGTTTGAAGACACTGGTGGGGCTTAGGCAGGTGAGTTCACCCACTAGTGGTTGAAATGGCCTCCCTAAGCTGCTTCTAGGTGAAAGGGCACCCATGTGCCATTGTTAGCTTTGTTTTCCTCACAATAAAAATATAAAAGACTTTCTAATCTGGGTGTTGGGAGATGGTTTACACTGGTGGCAGGGTGAATGGAGTGGAAGAAGAGTATAAAAAGACAGTTCAGGCCCTCCCTGTTGGCGCAGCGGGTTAAAGCACTGCACTGGGAAGCTGAGGCCACTTCCACATGAGATCTATTCCCGCCTGCCCCGGAGGAGACCACATGGCGTGGTAGACCTCTCCTGACCTGCCCGCTGCTCCCCTCAGCAGTGTACTTCATCGATCTGCCTGTTCTGCTGCCAGCTCTGTCTGGTGAAGTCTTTCACCATCCCTGAGTCTCTGGCCTGTACCCCAGTTCTGTATGCGCAAATGAATAGATCTTAAAAAAAAAAAAAATGGACTTAAGTACCACCACTTTCTAAAAAAAAAAAAAAAAAAAAGACAGTTCAAAGACCAAAGTGAGTAGATAAATAACAGAAAATCTACAAAGGGGGACAGTGCTGAAAAAGGGGGTTTCTAGCATCCTAGCCTTGAGAGTGAAATGAAATGGTTTGAGAAAAAAATGAGAGTATTGGTAAAGCAAGTACTCTGTGGAGTAAGGTTGGGTGTTGCCTTTTCATTGTGTGTGTATGTGTGTGTGTGCGCGCGCGCAACTTGGTGTGATATCTTGTAGGCATCTCTATCTACAATCTCTTAGAAAGATGATTCCAAGCCATCAGCATCAAGGTTATGGATGGATCCATACGATAAGCTTTATTTAGAATGTAGTAATTCCTATGTCTCTTATAATATTCTAAGAGTTGTTAAAAATTGTACACATTAGGAAGATCTGCTATTTCAGCTCCCGATTTAAAATAATTATGCAAAATATGCTTCAAAATGCTCTATACATCAATCTGCCACTTGGATGGTTTTCTATAGTTTCTTACCCTAGAAGACACAGATAAATAATGCAGACATAGCTCTGTTTTTCTGGTTCATTTGTATTTTTTAAAAAGATAATGCTTAGTTTTAGGCTATCACATTACATTTTTTGAAATTAATATTTTATAGGAACTTCAAGTCATTAGCAAAAATTCAGAGTTATGCTCCTATTTTTCATAAGAGAAACTGAGGATCCAGGTGGTTAATGATACCTTTGAGCTGACTTGGGAGATGACAACCAGAAATTTTCCTGCTATTGAGCTCAGTAACCCTTTCTCTGCCTCCCTAAAATGTAAAATATGAATACACTTTTGAATTCCTATGTAAATTCAGTAGCACAAGATGAGACAAAACCAACTAAAATACTTATTGTACTAAGAACTTCTATTTGTTTCTGTCCTTTTAGCCTTCAGATTATATGAAGTAGTATTTTTCTTTAAGATTTTGTGATACGGGAAAAATATGAGACTTGATGTCATTCTATTCTGATCACCTGGATTTTTTCTCCTCATTTGTTAATGCTTACAGTTAGTCATGGCCAAGATAAAAAACCTCTGATCTTGTTTTCTCACTTAAAAAGCTTAACTAACACAACACAAAGATTTGTGAGGATTAAATGAGATATCACATGCATAAGTGTCTTGTAAATAATAAAAAGCAACAAAGTGTCAGTGTTCATCATCATCATAAAGTCATTGTTAACTGGTATTTCTTATGCTTTTGGGCAAGAAATATGTTACATTATTACTGTTTATTAGGATCTTATTTAAAAATAATTAAGTGAATGACACTACGACTTATTTATGTTATGTTTTTTTTCTTTTTAAGCAGTAACCTCTAAAACAGTAGATTCTCTACAACAGTTACAAATTGACAAAAAAATCCCAGGTACCTATCACACTGTTGTTCGGCTTATATGATATTAAGTCAGTGGCACTCTTTGCATAAATTACTCCCCAGGGAGTAACTTACACGTGGGGAGAATCTGCTTCAATAAGTTCTTAATTATAAAATGATCTAACTCTAAAGGAAATGAAAATAGAGGTAATTTGCCCCCTGGGGTGTGAGAAGATGTTTTTGAAAGCTACAAAGGTTATCTTATACAACTTCGGAAATATAAATGGGATAAGGAATGATTCAATAGAACATCTGCATATTTATACATATTTATAATCCCAGCTCAACATGTAATCCTGAAGAAACATAAACATTTTAACAGTATTTTTAAAGAGAAAGAAGACACTTAAAAGAGTATGTGTGTATATATAATATATATACACACACATACACACACATATTTATATATACATATATCTATAACACACACACATATATTTATATATATGTAAAACTGTGTGTTGAAGTGGTTATTAGTTTGGAAAACCTCTGATAATTTTTACCTATCATGGCAGAATAGATCATCTGAAGTCCTTTATAGGTGAAACTAAATTTAAATAATTTAAAGTACCCTTTTTCTTTTCTCTCATTGAAAGTAAACTGCTTATGACCTCGACTTTATAGTTCACAGTATGTATTTTATTAAGCCCATCTTCATGGCAAAGTATTTCAGACATGAACTAAGACAAAATTATATTATTGCTCCAAAATTTGTCATTTCTAAATTTCTTCTTATTACACCACTCACACTCTCCTGTTTGATTGTCTTGCAGTGAATATAGGTCTGTTTACATGCTATTTTTTTTAAAGATTTATTTATTTATGCATACAGAACTGGGGTACAGGCCAGAGGTGCAGGGGCGGCGAGAGGCTTCACCAGAGACAGAGTGGGGAGCAGAACAGGCAGATCGAGGAAGTACAGTGCTGAGGGGAGCAACGGGCGGGTCAGGAGAGGTCTACCGTGCCATGTGGTCACCTCCAGGGCAGGTGGGAATTGAACTCATGTGGAAGTGGCTTTAGCTTCTCAGTGCTGTGCTTTAACCCGTTGCGCCACCAGGAAGGGCCCGACATGCTATTTTTTTAAAGATTTATTTATTTATGCATACAAGAACTGGGGTATGAGGATAAGAGTATTTACTAGAGACAGAGTAGGGGGCAGAACAGGTGGATTGAAATATACTTGGGGGGAGCAGCAGGCTAGATAGGTCTCCCAAGCCATGTGGGCCACCTCCAGGGCTGGGGATCGAACTTGTGCTGCAGTAGCTGTGGATAGCTTCATAGTGCTGCACGTTAACCCATTGTGCCACCAGGGAAGGCCTTTGACATGCTATACATCAGGGTTTCAAACTGAAAATCTTGAGAAGATTTGGTGGCTTGGATCTCACCAGCTATGACAGTAGACGTGATACTCAAAAATTCAAGAAGGATTCAGCTTTCTTACATTTGCTTGACTCATGTGGAAAGACAATAATAGCCCTTTTTGTTTCTTGAAAATAACTCCTTATTTATTTATAAGTTTGCTTTTTTTTCTTTCTTTTTTTTTTATTACAAGGTTTATTTTTACATCATTTTGCACATTTTTTTTTTCCATCTCGATTGTAATCCCCACGGGTTTCCCATCACCAAATCACCCCTGTGCCACCACCATAGACCCGTGCATTTCCCTCCCTTCCCCCCCCCTTTTTGATCCCATTCCCCACTCCGCCCCCACAGAATGTCGCTGGTATATGGTTGTTCATTATTTTTGTTATTTTCTCGCCTGGTCCATTATACTCCTGCTATGAGTGAAACCATCCGGTATTTTTCTTTCTCTTTCTGGCTTAATAAGTTTGCTTTTAATCGAGGTAATTATACATTCTCACTAGGTATTATCGCCATAGTGCAACCACCAGATCACTCATAGTCCACCACCAAAGGCTTCCTTTTCTCTTTGTTCTTACCACCTACCTCCCCTCCCAACAAAGGTATTCTTTGAGAGACAAACTTAGAGGATTTGAAAATCTCTGAGAGAGACCTTGAGATGTCTTTATGAATCAGTTTCTCAATTTCTTACATCTTCCTCTCACTTATATTTTTCTGTTGATAATCATTAGGAAACTAAGGATTTTATTTATTAATTAAATTTTTTTGTTTACAAAAGATGATGTTATATAGTTTTCTGTTACTTTAATATTCTCATAATGTCATGAAGATTTAAATAATTTGTGGTTTAATTATATCAGTACAGTTTACATACTACCATTAACTGAATGGTCCATGATTTGAAAGGCAGATTTAACAATTATAGAGCCATAATTTGTCTCTCTCTGAAGAGATTTGCATAAAGTCCCATGCTACATCATACAAAGCCACCATGTATTCAGTTCTTCCTGATTGTCAAAATGTACATATCTTTAGTTCTGCTCTCTCAGAGGCCCTGCTGGTGATAGTAGGTATTTAAGTTACATACTAATTCAGTAGGTATTTAAGTTACATACTAATGAGTTAACTAGAAAATGTGCCACTTTGCTCCACTGAAATACCTCTAACTTTTAAATGTAATCATTAGGAATAGTAATAATAATGGACCTTTCAGGTACTTTCTGGGTGGAGAAAACATTTTTATTGTTTCTGCCATTCCAGAGCTAACACCTTGATCTGAGTTTTGTGAGACCATTGAGGACTGGGATTAGGTCACATTTCTTTTTAACATTTTCTATAGTGTCCAAATGATAATTTTAAAATGCCATAAAGCAATAGTCCTAATGTTTCTTCTTTCAGTACAATCAAGAAATTTAATACTCTGTTTTATAAAAGAGGTTCTAAGCAATATTGATATTTCATATTTGGTGTGGGAAGATATCAGAATCTTGAAATTGGGGTGGTTATATTTGTATATATTTTTTAGAAAAGGTGATTCTGTATAAATTATAATTATAAAACTACCATTGATAACTAAATGAATGCAGTTATGAATTAGAAGTTCTCTGTAGTATCTAAACCACT